AAAAATACGGTTATCCTGAATAATGAATCTATCAACCCAAGCACAAAAGAACGAAAATAGAATTTATGGGCCGTTTGGTTCACGGAATAGGCCTGGAATGGCATAGCATTCCCAGTAATAAGCATATTCCTCTGTTTGGTAACCACGTGTATTCCTAGGAACATTGTTCCCGAAAATGACCTATTCCCCTTGCAAGGGGAATAGAGATTCCTGGGGGGCCCCTGGTATTAGGCTATTCCTGAGTTCTCAGGAATAGCCTAAAGTTTCTATTTCCTATTTTACCCCAATTAAATTTATTTTCTATTTCACCACTGCCACCACCACCACCACCATCGCCACCGCCACCGCCACCATCACCCCACCACCATTGCCACCGCCACCACCATCGCCACTGCCACCAGCACCACCACTCCAGTAGCAGCACCGCCACCGCCACCGCTGCCACTACCACCATCGCCACCACCGCCGCCATCGCGTCCACTGCCACCACCACGACCACCGCCGCCACCATCACATATTTTTATAAGGGTATTTATGTCTTTTAAAACATATTTTAATTATATTCCTTAAATCAACCAAACACTGTAATATAATTCTTATAGTCTATTCCTTCCGCGAACCAAACAATAGAATACAATTCCTATTCTATTCCCTGCCTATTCCATTCCTTATGGAATAACATTCCTATTACCTCAAAATTCATTCCGTGAACCAAACGTGCTGTTAAAGATTAAAATAATAATTGTATAAGAATTGAAGTGTTGTTTACCCCCGTAAATTATGCTGTGGAAATGTGTTCACCATGCGCATGGTGAACACATGGGTAGATCCATAATTTCTATACTGTAGATTCATTTTTTTTTTTGAAAACGTAGATTTATAATTATGTTTTTCATTTGTTGTTACAGATATTATGAATCTATAGTATAGAAATTATGAATCTACAACATATAAATTATGAATCTACAGTATAGAAATTATGAATCTACAGTATATAAATTATGAATCTACAATATAGAAATTATGAATCTACAGTATAGAAATTATGAATCTACAGTACAGAAATTATGAATCTACAGTATAGATGTTATGAATCTACAGTATAGAAATTATGAATCTACAGCTTAGAAATTATGGATTTATCCCGTTAACAACCAATGAAAAACAAAATTATGAATCTACGTTTTCAAAAAAAAAAAAATTATGAATCTACAGTATAGAAATTATGGATCTAACCCTGTGTTCACCATGCACATGGTGAACACGTTTCCACAGCATAACTATTGGTTTACCACAGGCCAGGCCAGATAGATCCTTATTGAGTCGTTATGCTGTGTGTTAGTTTTATGACTTTTGGGCAGTCAACGACAGGCCAACACTACCGTTAGAATAATGAGAATATATGAAAAATATAGGAGAAATTTATGGAGAAAATGTAGGAGCTTTGTATTGATGAATATTGCTCTGTGAATATTGAAAGTTATCCCCCCTCATCCTCTATGTGAGGATTCTATTTATACATATTTTGGGCCTAGAGCCCTACAAGAAATAAGAATTCTAGACTGCCTCATATTGGGAGTCTTAGTTACATAATAAAACCTAATTCTATCACACTAGAAATAATGAGTCCAGTTCTAATTATATTGGGAATAACAGATAAATCTTTGACGAACTCTTGGGTTGCTCCATGTCGTATATCTTTCTTGGGCTTCTTTGGTCCAGTTGCTTTCATGGGCCGGTCCATGTAGCCCATACCTAGTATATTATCCATCATCCAGTCGGCAAATTATTGGCTGGACCATGGCCCAAAACGGCGCCGTCTCTTCATTTAAGGAGAGACGGCGCCGTTAGACATCATTTTAAAAAATAATTCTAACGAACGTTGGGGTGTTCTTCGCGTATTTCCGACAGCTTCTTCGACAGTTTCTTCGCCATTTCTTCGCGCATATCAACCGTCTCCGACGCCACCTCCAGCGCGCCCTACTACAAACGAACGCCACAAGAGATTTCTTGTACACCATTTCCGACGCCATCTCCATCTACTGATTAGGTACATTTTCAACTACCTAGGTTTTAAAATTGAGTTTTGAGTAGTTGCTTTTGTGATTTTTGAGTAGTTGTTTTTTACTGCCTAGGGTTCTTACTGGCTTTGGAGTAGTTGTTTAGGATTTCTTTTCCAGGTTTCAATTGTTTAAAGTAGACACTATATTCATTACAATAAAATTTCATATTGTTCTGCACAATGTAAACAATGGTCCTAAAGCATTGATGGAAATAGTAAAATTGATGTATCAAATCCAGCATATTTGAAAAGGTTTGGAGAGTTAAGGCTTCACAGTGAATCTTTACTGTCTGAATCCCTGAACACCTTACTGCCCTTTGAATCTTGGATTTTTCTGTGCCCAGCGGGCTTGTTTTCTACCTCAGAACGTAGCTTTTCCAACTGTTTGGGAATGATAAGAAGATTTTCATAGCTTCTGTTAGTCAGATTTATGGTGAGTGAGGGTTAAAGAGATGTCAAGAAGAAAAGGGCAACCCAGCTAACAATAATAATGCAGTAGGACATTATATATATACCTGCATAAGCAGAGACTGGTTTTCATTCTTCAGGTAATCAAACTGCACATTTTAGGTTGTCAAATTTGGCTTTAAGCTCTCTGTAATCTTGCTCTATCTGCTTTGCCTTCCATTTCCCTTCCAATATGGTCTTCCAGTGGGTGGAGAAATGACTAGTGATGTTATGGCACTCTTGCTTTAGTTGTTGGATTTGTGGGCATTTTCTTATATATGTAGTCACCCATGCAAGAAGCTAAGTATCAACAACCCACTTCTAATAACTAAAGTTTTGCACCATGTCACGGCGCTAGCTCAATTGGTTCGACCCGTCACCTTAAAGTCTTGGTACGAAGGTTCAAGGGGATTGTTGGGAGACCTTGACCAATCAAAAGTGAAGGCAGAGCCTACATGCAAAGGGTGAGAACCTGGGGACTGACGGATAGGAACTCTAAGAGATTAGGATTATTCTGATCTAAGTTGAGAAAGATTTGCACACTAAACTCAAAAATCACACTTATTCTTACTCTAAATCTTAATGGATGAGTGAATTACAAGATGCATTTGGATGTTAGGCTCCCAGGCAGTTGTGTAGGTGGCAGCAAATTAAAGTGAAGTGTTATGTGGACCCAGTAGCCATTAATATCGTGTAGGAATGGTATTTTCCACCCTTTCATATTTGGACATCTCACATATCTGAATCTCTGGTATGGTATGCTATTTTCTACCCTTTCATATTTGGATAGGAGACAGTACTAGGAAATGGCCATAGATAAAAGGTTCAGAAAATTATTATTGTGTATGGATCTTTTGTGGAAGTGGGTGTTAGATCTGGCTACATTATTGCAGAGCTTTTTGAGGATCAGAGAGACTATCATTTTTATGGTTTCTTCTGCTTCCTGTCTTTTGTATTTAGACTTCAGTGGCTAATGATTTACTGTCTTGTCCTCTAGATGCTATTCTCCCTCTCCACACATTTCTGAACCCCTATGAATCAAACCAATGCTTGAATAAGTTCTATGAGCCATGAGGTATATAATCAAATATCAAATATGTGTGTGTACTTTATGGGTTGTGATGTCTGTGGGACTTTTGAATGAGTATGGGATTTGTACAGTACATGAATTCCATTCCCAACTTCTATTTGGCTTTGAGTGCAGTGTCACCTTTCCTTATATGCATTAGGTACATTATTTTAACACATAGGGTACATTATTTTAATTTATTATTTTTGTGTACATTCAGATTTGAAAGTTGTTTTTTTTTTTTTTTTTTTTTTTTTTATTAAGGTACATTATATCTGTTCATTAGATACATTATTTTAAACCACAGGGTACCCACTTTTATGCATGATTTATTTTGTACATTTTGTAGTGCATGGAGTTTATTCTGTTAGTGAATATCTTATTTCTTTGTAGAGCATGACTATTTTAATTCATGATTTTATGAGCACTTTTAGTGAATAGAGCATCGCTGGATTTATTCCTTTAACTAACATTTTACTTGCAGCAACTATGTCTAGCCAAGAAGTAGATTTATCATTAAAAGAGGTTACCAAAACCTACCGGAAAAGGAAAAGATCTACAAGTAATGAAGAAGACGGAAATAAAGAAAAGGCCACTAATAGGACTATAAAGAAAGAAAATGCTCCAAAGAAAATTCAGCTCAAGACTAGGATGTCACCAATGGAGTTTAACAAAATGGTCGCAAATCTTAGTGATGAACAAAAAAATGCGGTTAAAGAGATTGGATTTGGATCATTACTCGAGCTTAGATTGTCCAGCATGGACAATACACTAAATACATATTTGGTAGAAAACTATGATGTTTGTAGTTGTTCCCTAATGTTGGAGAGTGCAAAGATGGAGCTCACAGAGGATGATGTGGAGAGCACATTAGGTCTCCCGAAGGGTGAGGTTGAAGTTGTTGAAGGGAACAACTCAAATGCAACTGAAGAATACAAAACCTTGTTGGAGGAATGGAGAACACGCTGGGAATTAGACAATTGTTCTCCATTGGTGAAAAGACTTGGCCATGGTATAGTTGAGAAGAAAGACCACGGGGACATGTTCAAAAGGGATTTTGTGGTGTTTGTTGTTTCTAGTATGTTCAAGGGCCACGCTAATTGGACAACAAACTTCAAAATTTTGTACTCATTGATAGACGTGAAAAACATCAAGAATTTGAATTGGTGTAGGTACATTTTTAATAGTCTTACTACAACAGTGGAGAAATGGAAGAAATCAAAAAGTACATTCTTCACTGGACCATTGGTCTTCTTGATGGTAATACCTTTGATTCAATTTATGTTGCTTATTCTATTAATGCATTTTTTGCTTTCATACTAACTTTTTTTATTTTATTTTATTTAGGTTTCATACCTTGATAGGATGCAATTTAAAGGGCAGCAAATCCCAAGGAAATACCCTGCGATATCAGTTTGCACAATGGATATGGTCCAAAAAAGATTAGCAGATGAAAAGAATTCTGGTGGGTATGGCAGGGGAAAAGTATTGGATAGAGTTAGGAAATCGGTTGCTGAGATTGAAAACAACATTGTTGGGGATGGGGTGGAGGCACAGGCAGTTGGTGATAAAGCTAAAATGAGTGATGTAGAGAAGATATCTATGGGAATGAAGAAACTAACTGCAGCCATAGTTGAATTTGGGGAAGTAATGACTGAAGTTGGGAGCAAAAACACCGGACAAGAAATTATAAAGAAGACTTTTAGCAAGATGTCTGATATGCTGAACATTGCTTCAACTTCCCAGCCTGACAAGACTTCGACATTATTGGACGATGATCCAATCTTCAGCAGCGAGAGCTTTCTTGCAGCAGTTGCATCATTGGAAAAGGCAGCAATGGAAGCATTGGAAAAGGCCACCACAATCACCGAAGAACCTGTTGATCCTGAAACATTTTCACCACCACGCTTCAATTTGTTAACACCTACCCCCCCGGATATTCAAAAACCAAACGAAACAACTACTACACTCCCTGGTGAGGAAAGAAGCACAGAAAAGGAACAAACATTGTTTGACATGTAAGTTAAACTCTAAAAGTTGTGTTTCTGATTAAGATACATTATTTCTGGTCACTATGTACATTATTTTAATGAGTAGGGTACATTATTTTTATGTGGCAGTGCACTTGAGGAATCAGAGAGGGAGAATGTCCAACATGGGGAGAGAGAGAAAAGAAAATTGAAAAATGTTCCATTGCGATTGAGGTCTCCATATTGGACGAAAAACAATGAAAAGCTCTCCTTTGTCTCTGCGAAAGAGAAGATGCTGTCTGATTTTGCATTCATGGAACCGTCTATTCAACATCCAATAGAGTAGGTTTTCACTTTAATTATGTTTAATACTAATGTTTGTCTTTAATATGTGTTAAAAAGTTATTTTTCTTGCAGTGAAACACTGTTTAGGTATAAAAGGTACCACATTGCAAGGGACCAGTTCTTGACTCTACGGGACGGTGAAGTAGAGAAGACCATTATAGATGTTTGGAGCTTAAGAATGAATTCTGAAAATATCACTCGTGGAATGGGTGAACCAAAATGCATCTACTTCACCACCAATCCTTTTGTAAGTGCTTGAACTTTCTCTTATATTAAAAAAGTAAATTGATAATGCAAGTTCTTATTGATTATTAGTTTTTCTGCACAAAGTACATTATTCTTGTTCACAGGGTACATTATTTCTGTTCACAGAGTACATTATTTGTGTACATAAAGCTTTGGTGTATATAATACAGAGTTTGATGGTGTAATATGTTTACTTAGTAATATAATTTTGTGTTCAGATGGAAATTGATGATGCTACTGAATGGAAAATAGAATTCTCTGCAGAGGAAAAACAAAGACGGTTCAATGGATCTTTGGATTATGAGATTAAATTGGCCTCTAACATTGACATCTCTGATGCTGAACTGGTAATTTATCATGCATAATATTATAAATTAATAAATTATGTGAAATTCATTTTATATACACTCATTGGATATACTTCTAAAATCATATGTATTTAGGTTTTCTTCCCTGTTATACGCTATCATCACTATTTCATCATGTGCTTGAACTTCAAGAAAAGGGTTGTCCAAGTAGTTGACAATAGAACACTGGGCAAGAATACCAACTTTCTACAAAGATATGATAATTGTGATCAAAACCTAGTAAGTTGCAAAATCTAAGATTGTTATGAGTTTAAATTGAATATTGTTAGGTACTTGATATATTATAATGAACATTAACTAATGTGCAGGTTAATGCATTCAAAGAGTATTGCAAATTTAAAAGGATCACAACTTTGTTAAACAAAATGACAAAGCATGATGATGAAGATGATGTGTTTAACCATGAATTGGTGAAGATGTCTTGGAAAAATGCCACTAATGTTACTGATTGTGGAGTTTATTGCATGCGTCATATGCAGACCTTTAAGGGTAATGGACCGAATTGGGAATCTGGATTTAACAGAACACCTGCAAATGTAAGTACTGTGATTTAAAGTACATGTTTTTCATTTTTATAAATACCTAATTGGACTTATATAACTGCCATTTTGGTTGAATATACATGCAGGCAATATTCTTGACATCTTTGAGGGCAAAATATGCTGCCGACATATTATTTTTACCAATGAATGAGCACAAACAATCCATACTACAAGCAGCCCGTAATCTTTATAAGTAGACAATGATCATTGTAATTGATGGTTCTAAAATGTTAGATGAATATTGTTGATTTTTGTGTTAGATGAAATTTTTGGTTGAACAATTCAGAGATGGTGCTGAATTGGGTGCTAGCTAGTGATATCAAGATATGCTGAAATTGTTTATGTGTTAATTGCTTTTCAGTTAGTTGTTTTTCAATTAATTGCTTTTCATTGTGGTGTTAATTGCTCAATTAGCAGAAGCTATTGTGGAGTTACTCATATGGTGCATTATTCTAACTCACATAGTACATTACCAAAATTCAAGTGACTACAACTGCAATGATACATTTTGTTAACACATAGGGTACATTATTTTAGATCACAAGGTACATTATTTTAACCCACTGAATGCATTACCAAATAAGAAAACATTTTATTAATGCATAAAATCAAAAATATGTTTTTAGAAACTATAAAAAAGTAACATAAAATTAAAAGTCAAATTTAAAAATTATTAAAATATGTTTTGAAAATATAAAATAATAGTTCGTTTTACCAACGAACCCCTCCCCTAATCTCCCATGGTGGCGTGGACGGGGTTGGGGTTGAGGAGTATACCACCCGTCATCTCTAAGACTCTAAGTGGTGATCAATTCATGAACATGTGACCTTAACTAAGATACATTTTGATAACTCATAGGGTACATTATTTTAGAGCACAAGGTACATTATTCTAACCCATAGAGTACATTACTCAAAATAAAGACTGCAAGGATACATTTTGTTAACAAATAGGGTACATTATTTTAGAGCACAAGGTACATTATTTTAACCCACTAAATGCATTACCAAATAAGAAAACATTTTATTAATCCATAAAATCAAAAATATGTTTTTAGAAACTATAAAAAGTAACATAAAATTAAAAGTCAAATTTAAAAATTATTAAAATATGTTTTGAAAATATAAAATAATAGTTCGTTTTACCAACGAACCCCTCCCCTAATTTCTCATGGTGGCGTGGACGGGGTTGGGGTTGAGGAGTATACCACCCGTCATCTCTAAGACTCTAAGTGGTGATCAATTCATGAACATGTGACCTTAACTAAGATACATTTTGATAACTCACAGGGTACATTATTTTAGAGCACGCTGGGAATTAGACAATTGTTCTCCATTGGTGAAAAGACTTGGCCATGGTATAGTTGAGAAGAAAGACCACGGGGACATGTTCAAAAGGGATTTTGTGGTGTTTGTTGTTTCTAGTATGTTCGAGGGCCACGCTAATTGGACAACAAACTTCAAAATTTTGTACTCATTGATAGACGTGAAAAACATCAAGAATTTGAATTGGTGTAGGTACATTTTTAATAGTCTTTTTTGATAACTCATAGGGTACATTATTTTAGAGCACAAGGTACATTATTCTAACCCATAGAGTACATTACTCAAAATCAAGACTGCAAGGATACATTTTGTTAACAAATAGGGTACATTATTTTAGAGCACAAGGTACATTATTTTAACCCACTGAATACATTACCAAATAAGAAAACATTTTATTAATGCATAAAATCAAAAATATGTTTTTAGAAACTATAAAAAAGTAACATAAAATTAAAAGTGAAATTTAAAAATTATTAAAATATGTTTTGAAAATATAAAATAATAGTTCGTTTTACCAACGAACCCCTCCCCTAATTTCCCATGGTGGCGTGGACGGGGTTGGGGTTGAGGAGTATACCACCCGTCATCTCTAAGACTCTAAGTGGTGATCAATCCATGAACATGTGACCTTAACTAAGATACATTTTGATAACTCATAGGGTACATTATTTTAGAGCACAAGGTACATTATTCTAACTCATAGAGTACATTACTCAAAATCAAGACTGCAAGGATACATTTTGTTAACAAATAGGGTACATTATTTTAGAGCACAAGGTACATTATTTTAACCCACTGAATACATTACCAAATAAGAAAACATTTTATTAATGCATAAAACACAAATGTTCATAATCTGTCAAGTGCAAATACTTCCTTTAAAAACTCACAGAATATAAAACCAATTCATAATCTGTAAATAACTCACACAATATAAAACCAATTCATAATCTGTGAAGTGCATATATAAGTAAACAAAATTTCAATACAACTCCTAACTATCATTTGAATTGTTTTGAGACTTAGACCTAACACAAATCAATTCTGAACTAGTAGTGTCATTAGGATGAACAAGATACCCACTGCCAACAATATTAGACACAACTTCCTGCATAGAAGATTGGACGGCAGCCTTTGTGTTAGATTCAACTCTTTTTGCATAATTTTTTCGGCCACTTGCTTGATTATACTTTTTTTGTACTGTACTAACTGGCCTTCGATTACGGTCGCCTTTCACACCACTTCGTTCTGGATTTTGTATACCACTACTTCGCATAGATCTTTCCAAATCATCAAAGCAAATAGGACCAACCTCACCTTCAATCCTTCTTCTTCCATCTTCAATAAGGTTTTCACATACTTGTCGAGCTTTGCAATTGTCTTGACTTGATAGAACTAACCTTTGCCATTTTCTACCCATATCTATAACCCAAATTGGAGAAGCAACTGTCAAAATACTAGAAGAAGATGCAATGTCCATAATCCTGTGTTCAACAACCTTTTTTGTCCACCTTCTACAAATATATTTCTCAGGAATTTTTTCAACACAATGAATGTTCAAAATACGCAAACAATGTGAACAAAGAATACCCATCTCGGAGAAAAACTTGCAAGTACAACATATGTTCATATCCTTAATATTGAAACAAACCTCATGCCGAATAATGTCAATATCCGGCCGCCATATGTGATATTTAAGCTCATCAACATTGCTCGCTACACTCTCTTGATGACAAGCAGCACCTTTCAAAAATTGTTGCTCAAACAAGTAGTAAGCCTCAATAGTGTATACATTCCTAGCATGTAAAAGAAGTTTTACATGATCCAATGCCATTGTAGGCAACCCTTGAGAACACCGCACATCTTCCCCATTCTCTTTGCTCCTCCACTCAGAAACCACATTAACAAAAGAGTTGTAAAAATCAGACAACCCAGATGTTTTAGATAACCTTCTTGAAATTGAATGATTTGTAGTCTCACTCCGTTGGGAAGATAAGATACCTCCAGAGAAGTAATCTTTATTAAAAGCAGGGCACCACTTCTCCCTAATATCATACAATTTGTTTAACCAAACATTTTTATGGCAATTATAGTCCGTCACCAACCTGAAAATAACAAAACTGAGTGTGACTGCAAAGATACATTTTCCGCATTCATAAGGTACATTATTATAACCCATAAAGTACATTTTCTAAACACTACAATTTCCAACTTAACATGAAAGGTAAAACTGTGTGACACTTCATTTTATTAGTACAAATTACTACATGCTACAAAGGAATCACACATAGAGAACAAGGAAAAGATCTAAGTTTTAAATGCAACTAGAAAAATAAGGAATTTTTTTTTTATCAAATTACTGCTGCAAAGATACATTTTCAAAATTCATAAGGTACATTATTATAACCCATAAAGTACATTTTCTAAACACTACAATTTCCAACTTAACATGAAAGGTAAAACATCACGTGTTTGATTTTATAAACACAAAGTAATCTATGTCACAATGCAAGAATGACAAATCAAATATATAAAATGATAAATTTAATAGCATATGTACCTATTCCAATAAAATTCAAACTCAGCTTCTGTGTCTGTGTACTTCAACAAAAAATTAAATAACTCCATAAAGCCGTTTTGACTCCTTAGACATTTAATATGTTTCTTTGAATTCTCTCCAATATGCCAAATACAAAGTCTGTGCCTTGCACTTGGGAAAACCAGAGAAATTGCAGCAGACATAGCAGCACATTGATCGGTCATGATTGTTTGTGGACACTTACCACCCATAGGGCAAAAATGTTTTAAACAACCAAACAAATGAGTCAGTCCTCTCGTTCAATAAAAACCCACACCCAAACATTATATTCATACAGTGGTGATTCATTCCAACAAAGGGACCACAAATCATATCATACTTATTAGTACGATACGTTGTGTCATGCACTACTAAATCACCAAACAACACAAAATCCTCCTTCATTCTTGTATCCCTCCAAAAAAAATTACACAGTCTTGCATCCTCATCTAATTCAAAATCAAAGAAAAAGTCGGGTTCATTCGACTGCCTTTGTCTAAATATTTCAATTAGTGAATTTGAATCGGTCCCATCTAATCTCTTTATCGAATCTGTATGCAGGCTATTATAAGCATCCCTTGGTGTAAATCCAACCAAAGGTGAACCTCCAGACTGGTGTTTCAAAAATCGAATGCCATCCGACAATGCAACCCCACTCCTTTTCAAGTTTTTTAAATAATCCAATTGGGTATCAACAACACTTCTGTGTGACCGAAGAAGATAGCTGTTAGAAGGTGGACACAACTCATGGTTATGATCCTTTACATGTTTTGTCACAATCAACTGTCCATTAGACGCCAAATCAAACTGACAAAACGCATTACACCCTGTTCGTGTGTCTACCCTTGAATATGACCTTGAATCTTTTTTTTTGTTGTCCTTAAAACCACTCTTTGCACAGTGGAATTTCTTCATTTTAATAGTCTGACTACCGGAAACATAGTACTGCTTGCCCTTCCTAACACTGAATCCCAATCTAAAAGCATAGTCATTATATAAATTAAATGCTTCTTCAATTGAGGTAACTGTAATCCCCAACAACTCCTGAGTAACTGTAAATTTCAAAAAAATAATACAACTAACAAGTTACTAGCATAACAGATTAATATTATGTTTAGTGAATATCTGATTTCTAAGTAGAGGGGTGGTGGGGTGTGCCGAATAAATTCAGCCATGCTCTACAAAGAAATAAGATATTCACTAAAAGAAAAAACTCCAATCAATACACAACAGAATGTACAGATAAATCATGCATAAAAATAATGTACCATGTGGATTAAAATAATGTACCTACTGACCAAGTATAATGTACCTTAATCAGAAGCACAAGTTTCAAATCAGAATGCACACAACAGAATGTACTGATAAATCATGCATAACAATAATGTACCCTATGGATTAAAATAATGTACCTACTGAACAGAAATAATGTACCTCTAACAGAAATACAATATTCACAACAGAACATGCAAATACTTTATTGTAACACCAAAACAATAATAAAAAACGAATCATTCCATCAATATAATTAAAAAACAACTAATAATAAGTAGATAATAATAAAAAAAACTTTTTTAAAAAGAACCTGGAATTGAAGAACTCTCATCCATAGCATTAGAAGAACTAGCTTGAACTCCAATTGGTGAACTCTCATCTGTTGCACCACCCGAAGTGCCATCAACTGTAAATAATTTACATTAAGCATATAAATAATATATCTAATAAACACATTAAGCATGTTCAATAATGTAGTATATTTTGCACAGAAATAATGTACTCTATGAACAAAAACTATGTATCCTGTGAACAAAGATTATGTGCCCTGTGAATAAAAATTATGTACCCTCACACAACCAACAAAACAAACCTAGGCACAATAGATCAAAGCATTGTGGAAGACAAACCTGGAATTGATTCAACATCAATGGGAGAAATAGGTTCCACATGAATCAAAGCATTCACATCTTCTACAATATAAAAAATACGCAATATTAATCAAAATTCAAAATAAAAACGAACCTAAATTGCATATAAAACAATATACATACTTGTAATATCATCATCTACTTGAATCGCATCAACTCTATTGTTTGAATCATTGATATTATTCATGATGACGGAGGCAATTCTAGGAAGATACAAATCGCAGTGTACGAAGCAGTTGCGGTGAATGAAGAAGATTTGCAGTCGCAATCGCGGAGGAGATAGAAACAAATGGCCGGCGAAAAGCAAACAATGGAACACTAACGCCGTAAAACTGACGTTCTAATTTTTTTTTTTAATAATTAAACGGCGTAGTTTTGGACCATGGTTCAACCAAGTTGGGTGGACCATGGTCCATGCAATAACAATTGCATCCAGTCCCCCACTTTTTTGAGATTTCTCGATGTCTTAGGAAAATATTTTGAATTTCTCTCTGGTCTAATAATAATAATAATAATAATAATAATAATAATATTATTATTATTATTATTATTGAAAGGGCGGCAATATTTGCACCATACGGGGAAATATGTTACACTGCAAGAAGCATTAATATATATGCTTGGTATACATATATTCACAACACATGCAAAGTAATAAGTGGGCCCTGCATATATATTTTACATATTTATATACTCATCCTGTAAGGCAATTTAAACAAATGGATAATGGGAAGCTAACCACGCATGTGTGTATAATTGTATATCCATGTCAGTAGAAGCGCAGAGGAAAGCGGTTGGTCCTACGTATCTGCTTGACTGTTTTTATGGAAGGAGTAGAGGACTTGACAATCACGTTGTCCTAGGTATGAGCATGCAACTAAAAGGGGTTTCTTTCTTTATCCGAAGGGTAAGCTCATGCGTTGTACCTATGTAAGTATGGTTCCCACATTATGTGTAAGTATGTTGCGTGAAGCAGGCACTAATAACCTTCTACAAGTCTCTTCTCTTTCTAGCTATGTCATGCTTGTCAGGTGTTAGGAACTCACAAAGCCCAAAATATTGAGAAACAAATGCTGAAGTACTCCTTCCAGTAAAGCCTGCCATCTTTCTTCCTTCCCCAAGTTGCTGTGGAGGCAAAAGCCATTTTCAAAATCCATATCCCTTCTCTGTAACTCTCAACCCATCCCTCCTCCTGTTTTAACGGTGAAGCATGACCTTAGCAGGACGACGGAGGCCTCCAGTGCGACTTCTCTCCTCCCAGCTTGTCGGCGCGTCTCATTTCCTCTTCTCCAAACTAAACGACACGTTCTTATCTTCTCCAAGCTGTTCGTAGCAATGCCGGTCGCACGATGCGACTGACCAGGCCGTGTCTTCGGTTGGCCTGTTTGGCCAACTAAGACAACGTCGGTCGGTCGCAGTGACCGACCGCGTTTCACTTGCGGCTGACCAAAGGTGGCCAGCCGTAATCCTCGCAGTATCCTTTTTTTTTTTTTTTTTTTTTTTTCTTTTGTTGAAAGCTCTTATATATATAATATGTTTGGGAAATATTTTCTTTTGTCTCCTTTTTTCAGGTTTCGGACTGTCATAGTGCTTAAGTAAGCGGTGAAAGGTTTCTCTGGACCATGATTATCTGGACTTGACCGCCAACCTTCATGTGATGGTGGTCATCTTTCTAATGCCGACGTGTCTTTGGACAAATGGATAATGTAGGTCCAGGAGCTAATGATTTTGGATTGCCAAGATGGGGTTGAACATGGGGATGCTTCCAACCATGATTCTTCTTTCTAGATGATATGTAGCATTTTTTTTTTCTTCTGAATTGGACCACTTGGGTGTTGTAATGACGATTTCTAATCTTCTCATTATATTTTTTTTCTGTTCATTATTTGCTCCTTTTTTTGCTTTGTGCCTTTGTTCTTAGCATTTCCTGGTTGCGTGTTTGATAGTTCTTTAGTGATTCCTGAAAACGTATCCAGTTCTCAGTCTAATCCCACACATTTAGTATGCTCATCGCCAAATATTTTTTAGAACGTCTCCCGTTCTCAGCCAGTATGCTCATCTACCAAATATTTCTGAGAACATCTCCCGCTTTCAGCAATATGCTCATCCACCAAATATTTCTGAGAACGTCTCCCGTTCTCAGCCAGTATGCCCATACGCCCAACCGCTAACGATTTTTTAGAACGTCGCCTGTTCGTAACAAGTATGCCCATTCACCAAAGATTTTTGAGAAAGTATGCCCGTATGCCCAACCGCCAAAGATTTTTGAGAACGTCTCCCATTCTCAGCCAGTACGCCCAACTGCCAAAGAGTTTTGAGAATGTCTCCCGTTCTCAGCTAGTATGCCCAACCGCAAAAAAAAAAAAAAAAAAAAAAAATTGAGAACGTCTCCCGTTCTTAGCCAGTACGCCCAACCGCCAAAGATTTTTTGAGAACGTCGTCCGTTTTCTACCAGTATGCAACTTTGCGAATGGCTTTCTTAAGAACGTCGCCCGTTCTCAGTCAGTATGCCCATCCGCCAAACATTATCTAAGAACGTCTCCCGTTCTTAGTTAGTATGCCCATTCGCCAAATATTATCTGAGAACGTCTCCCGTTCTCAGCGAGTATGCCTAACCACCGAATAATTTTTGAGAACGTCGCACGTTCTCTGCCAGTATGCCACTTCTCCATTGGCTTTTCTGAGAACGTCTCCCGTCTCAGCTAATATGCCCATCCGCCGAATATTATCTGAGAACGTGTCCCGTTCTCAGATTTATGATATCTCATACTCCTTTTGACCACTTGTTGTCGATCATGCTTTATACCCTGATGACTCCTAGACTCTACACTAGACGTTATACCGACTAGACTTCTCTCCTATAACCCCTAGACTCTACACTAGACCTGTAACAACCCAAAATTTCAATTTATAAATCCGGTATTAAGAAATTTCAAAATAGCTTTTTGACTCCATTAAAAATTTTTGCGATCAATCGGTGTGAGAATAAAATAATTTTCGTCACGTTTTGAAATTTATTCGACACTAAAGAAAAGTATTTCTTTCGAAAATTCCAATGTTTTCGGATACTTCATGTACCAAGATTTAAATCAAGAATTTTACCCGAGAGAGATCGGGAGAATTAAAAAGGGGATTTTGAACAAGTGTTCATCCATATAGCTTTTGGAAAAATTCACTTTCCACCCCAAAGTAATAAAGAAATAACACTTTTAGCCCATGGTTCATGTTGCAAGGTGGACCACAAGGCATCCAAAATATCATCATGATCCATCTTTTGGCTAGTAGAATTACCTCTTTGCCCTCAACCAATCATTGTGTATCAACCTAGGGTTTTGAACCCTTATAAATAGAATGGTGTTGGCCTCATTTCCTCCTGATCTCTTCCTTGGCTGCCAACACCATAGTAGTAAGCTCTCCTCCATTCATTTCCTTCTTCTTTCATTTTCTCTGCATAACATCTCTTTAAGGTTTTAGACTTAGGCCTTGTGTGGTTGTTTGAGATGTTTAGGTGGTGAAAGAAGTAGAGATCCTTGAGTGAAGTGGAGCTGAGAAACCAAGCAAGAAGAAGAGGTCTACAAGTGGTATAACCCCATGGATTTCCTCTTTAGTTTTGGCTCTATGTAGGGATGGCAACGGGGCGGGGCGGGGGCGGGGAGTATACTCCCCGTCCCCGTCCCCGAAACCCCGACCCCATCCCCGTCCCCGTCCCCATCCCCGGCGGGGAATTGAAAACAACCCCCATCCCCGTCCCCGCGGGGAATTAGGCGGGGACGGGGATTTCCCGTCCCCGATTAATTCTTAATCAAAATTTTAAATTAGTGTAATTTTTAATTTTAAAAACTAAAAAGTTAAATCTTAATTTAATATATATATATATATATATATATATATATATATATATATATATATAATGTAACAGTACGTACTGCCTTAGCATTTCATTACTTTATATTATTTATATTTATTTATTTATTTATTTTTAATAATAATAATTATTCGGGGACGGGGCGGGGAGGGGTATCCCCGTCCCCGTCCCCGTCCTCGACGGGGAATTACAAACATTCCCCGTCCCCGTCCCCGTTCCCCGAAAATTTTCTACATCCCCGTCCCCGTCGGGGCGGGGATCGGGGATCCCCATCGGGGACGGGGCATATTGCCATCCCTAGCTCTATGAAGCCTAGTATTGAGTAGAAATGAGTAGAAACTATGAGTTCTTAATGTGTTTATGCTTGGAAGTGATTTATGATGTGGTTGTGATTTGTTGGAATTGTTTGGACAAGATTTTGCAGGTAGAAATCCATCTGGTGCACAACTCAGTGTGCACCAGACCAGAGTGGCGGCCCTAGCCGCGGCCCATCAGAAGGGCCGCCAGCTAGAGCCATGCCACCACGGGACTAGGGCACAGCCCATGGAGAGGGTCGTTGCCTAGTCTTGGTACTTTAACGGGGCTCATGGGGCGGACCATGAAGAGTCCCGCCCCAGGTCCCTGAGTTTGTCCTGATGAGATTTTTGTGCAGTGGCCGGGCCCTTGTGGCTCAGCTACGTGTCGTTTCAGACCGAGTTTTACGGGCCCTTGTGGCTCTGCTCTTCGGGATCGTCTTGATGCACATTTTGACTTTGATTTTGTTGAATTTGGATTAAAAACGAGTATGCTATGAATGATTTTGTGAAGAAATGTGACACAGTGCATATTTTGCCTAACTCTCTGTATTTGAGAAATTGTTGAATTTGTGATCAGATAATGTTCTTGTTGAGTAAAGAGGCATGATCCTTTGAGAATAAGATTTATTATGAAAGCATGATTAAATTGTATTATTTGATCCACGAGAATAGAAGCATACCTGTCGAGTGAAATGCATAGAATTTGCTATTTTGCAAACCGAGCATGATGATATATCCTTGAATACTTCATGTTAGTTTATACATGATTTAGAAGCATGATATAGAGCATTTTTGACATTTCACATGAGTCATATTTCAAAAATGCATTAAGGACCAACGTGAGTCCAAGAATATTTTCAAAAACCAAAAGTATGTGGTATATCATTCTTTGCTGCATTGAGAAATAGTAGAATTGTTGCATGCATGAGATTTATGCATGAGAGATATATTTATGTATTATCTATATCGGTGAGGTTTTGGAGGATACCGTTTGGACTATGTTCCTCTCGGGAGATATTTATGGACATTGCGGTCCCAGAGTATGTAACGCGGCGTATTCCCACGTTACAAAGTTGGAAACTTCCCGCCAGGCTTGGAATCCTGGTAGGGGGTGTGCACACTAATAGTTCAGGTACCTGATTCCATAGAGTTTGAACAACGAGATTGGTTCCGTAGACGGTAGGAGATATTGGGTCAGAATTATACCGTTCCCGATGGGATAAGTCACACTTCTGTGAAGCCCTAAGCCGTCTACGAGTATAAGAGAAGGAAAGAAAGTCAACAACGACTCAAGAAAGAGAGTCAAAAGAGACTCGATTATGAGAGTCAATATAGACTCGATAGAAAGAAAGAGAGTCAAGAGAGACTCGAGAAAGCAGCAAAGAACCCTCCACAGAAAGAACTCTATTTTTATATATGAGTGTATGATTTTATTATTGCACTAGATTGCATATGAATATGAGTATATTGTTGCACTAGATTGCATAAGTGTATGACTATAATATCGCACTAGATTGCATATGAATATGAGAATATGGTTGCACGAGATTGCATAAGAGCATGAGTATACTTTTGCATAGATTGCATATGAGTATGATTATACTGTTGCATGAGATTGCATATGAACACGAGTATAATGTTGCGCTAGATTGCATAAGAGTATGAGTATATTGTGGCACTAGTTTGCATAAGAAGCATGATCATAATGTTATACATGATAGTTTGCGAATAGAACATCGTAAAAGATTGTTTAATGAGAAGTTTAACTTGAGATATTCATTGAGCATGATTATTGTGATGTAGTAGAAGTTCTACTTAATAAGTTATGTGAAAAGGTTGTGATAACATGTGAACACTTGTTATATGATCTTTAAACAAGATCCTATCTGTAAGCATGAATTGCTTGACTAGAAAAGTCTATATGTATATGAATATACGTGATTAGTCTTATTCATATGTAAGCATGCCAACTGATATTATAGGGAGCAAGCATTTAGAAAGTATATGATAATCTAAAGATACTTTGAGATTATCTTATTGATACAATGATATCAAATGTTTTTTCCATGTATATGCTGAAATGCTTTACAGGGTTGAGTGTGATTATACTTAGCTTCGTGCTAACGGGTTTTTCCTGTTTGTCTATGTGCTGCTTGCAAAACCCCTTTCAGGTGGGCCCGACAGTGAGAGAAGATCGAGTTAGATTAGTCTCTTAAGTTTGAGCTGTCTAAACTCTAAGTTGTTTGATGATGATGTTACGAATCTAGACTTATGACGTTTGATGATGTAGACTATTTGGGGTGATGTTTTCCCCCTTTACTTTCCAGTATTTTATTTAGAAGTCAGACTTTTACTATAATTCTAGTTTTACCCCTTTAGCCTGTGCAACCTCCAAGAGTAGTGGTTGTGGCGGTGACACCCACACTACTTTTATTCAGTTTTCCGCTGCTTAGATTATGTTAAAGACTGTTTAGAAAGATAATTAAGAGTTATAAAAGTGGGGTGTTACAAGACCCTTCACCCATGACACTATGTTTTCTATTAGACTTTCCATCACATGATATTGACAAGCTCCTTCTTGCAGCAATCATCTTTGCTTATTTTACCATAATTTGATTATTTCTTCGTACGTGATCTGGCTGTGAACCGCTCGCAGAGGGGTGGGAAGGTGGATCGACTACTGAGAGGTGGTAAGGTTCGTTGACCATCGAGTGGTATGAGGACGAGTCGACCATTTAGAGGTGAGAAGGATAGTCGACCACTGAGCGGTTGGACGATTGACCAACCACTGAGTGGTGAGAGGGTGGATCGTCTGCTGAGTCCTGAGAGGGTCGATTGACCACTCAATATTGGGATGACCAACCAGGATGACTAGTCCGCCTAGAAGATCAGTCGGGGTGACCAGTTAGGATAACCAATCCATCTGCGCGGTTTGTCCAAACTAACTGCTAGAATTTTCGAGGGCATTTGAGGCAATTTATTAATTTTGTAGGTAGGTTGACTCTGTTAACTCTGATCATTTACTCTGGATGATTTTATGTATAGTGGAGGTCGTCGTCGCGTGATGATCCCTATTGTCTTTCTGCGGTGCTTGTCCTGTAACCAACAATCTTTAATTCATCCTCGTTGTGACTTTGCGCTATTTAAAGGATAGGTGCGATAACCTTTTAGATCGAACTGATGATTTTATTACGATACTATAATATAATAGTCCATTGTACATAGTAACTAATTGTACGAGATTATTCTCCCAACAATTGGTAGAGCTTCTTGAGCTACCTTGAATGCGTCTTCTCTGTTTGTTCTCCACTGGTCGAGGCGGTCGAACCTTTATGCACTGGTCTGGGTCCAAAGGTGGGAACTACTCTGTGTTGATGGGGGTAGCCCTTGGTTGGTGTTGGGTTTGTCTTCTCATTAGGACAATCGGTCCGCTGGACGCGCTCTTGCCTCGTTGCGGAGTCATTTTCCCTCTTGCCTCTGTTTTTGTTGCAAAGCCTCTTCTGTTTCTGCGTATTTATTGGCACACTGGATAGCCTGTGCATATGTTTCTGGGGTCTCCCTTCGTAGGCTGATGAACAGATCTCCTGACCTTAGGGCCTCCATGAACAAGGTGAGAGTCGTTCGATCGTTCAAGTCTTCTACTGTCTGTACCTCTTTCTGCCATCTTTTTAAGAATTCCTTTAGTGTCTCAGTTTCTCCTTGTTGAATGTCGATCAAGGTTATGAAGTGCTTCTTTGTTTTTATGCTTCCGGCAAAGTAGGTTAGGAATTGTTCGGCTAGGGTTTCAAAGCGGTCAATAGACCGTGGTGGTAGAGATATGAACCATCGTTGCGCTGCCCCTCCGAGGGTTGAGAAGAAGGCATGACAGTACATGGGGTCTTTCGCCCCTATTACCATCATCTTTGCCTGGAAGTCAACCAGGTGATTGCTAGGGTCCTCCGTTCCATCGTAAGTAGGCATCGTTGGGACTTTGAAGTCTCTCGGTGCGCAATATTCTTGGATCCTCATAGAGAATGGACTGGCAGATAACAGAGATCGAGCGGTGGCCGGTTTCTTCCACCTTCAACCTTCCTTTGGAGGTCTCTTACTTCTTTAATTTGACGAGTTCTGCATATCTTGATTTCGGTTTACCTGACCAAGTTCTGGAGTCTCTCCGCTGCCATCCATCATGTCTTGCGGGGAATTCTTCCCTTGTCGCGATCTCTTACCCTCATCCTTTCTAGACTGCCCCATATATGGAGTCTTAGTTACATAATAAAACCTAATTCTATCACACTAGAAATAATGAGTCCAATTCTAATTATATTGGGAATAACAGACCCAATCTTTGACGAACTCTTGGGTTGCTCTATGTCATATTTCTTTCTTGGGCTTTTTTGGTCCAGTTGATTTCATGGGCCGGTCCATGTTGCCCAAGCCTAGCATATTATCCATCACTGTGCAACCGTGTGCACCTGATGTTATCACATCTGTGCTTGTTTTTATGGTTATTTTGAATCATCATAGTAATTAAGTTCTTTAATTTTGCTTATTTAATACAGGTTTTCCTTGCTATTATCATTTAATTATGGTTCGTACTTGTTTTGAATGTTTTACGGTGTTTGTTAGTGTTTTTGAACCATTGTAGGTCAATTCTATGAGCAAGGGAAGTTCAAGGATGAGTTTGGAGCAATTTTGGATGAGTTCGGGGCCCAGTGGACTCGATGCGTCGAAATTTTCCAGTAGCTAACTAATTTGCGCACAGGAAGTCTCGACGCGTGGAGAAAATTCTCGACGCGTCGAGAGAATAGGCGTCTATTTCTGGGATAAAAACAGACGCCTAAAGTGGCGCAGCTGGGCAAAATTCAATACAAGAGAATAGGCGTCTATTTCTGGGATAAAAACAGACGCCTAAAGTGGCGCAGCTGGGCAAAATTCAATTCAAGCGCGAGATTTCTTTTCCTAATATCAATTGCACGGATTTCAAAGCTCATATCTCCATATTAAAAGTTAGCAATTCAAGGAATCTTCCAAATTCTAAATATCATTAAAGACGGCAATTTCTTTATTTAAATATAGGAATTAGAATTTGAGTCCAATTTGGTACAAGATTCCTATTTCATCTCAACTTTGTACCCACTATAAAATCCCTCCTTCCTCAACCCTAAGAAGACACCGAGAGATTTTGAGAGTTCTTTGTAGACAAGAAAGAGAGAAATCGAGAGGCTCAAGTCGTCTTTGGAAGCAAGGAGGAAGCCAGGGAGATTTGGGAGAATCGCTTGGTTAATTCTTGTACTCTTCTGATGATTTATAATCCTTTATTTATATTTGCTATGTATAATTTAGCCATGCTCGGCTAAATTCCTTAGGGATTTTTGGGTGAATTTGTTTATGAACCTATGTGCCTAGTTCGTTAATTTCTTAATATATTTATGTTTGGTTTTATGATTTGTGTTGCAATCTTGTTTTAATCTGTTGTTGTTGGTAGTTAAAGGCCTAAATTACTAGCTTCACAGTCATGTTTGTGTCACCAATGGGAGTTGGGGCATAAATTAGGGCACACACGATTGCACCTAATGGTTGGTCCTTGGGAAAGAGGAACTTATTAGGGGAAGTTT